ATGGATAGTCTTTAGGGAACAATGTGGTTCTTTTGTCATGAATGTCAATTTTACAAAGCAACAATTATAATCAAATAAATAAAAAAGAAGGGTATAAACGATCTTAAAAAAATCTACCATGGAAAAATACTACAAGTTCTAAAAAAACTGCCACACAATAAATAATAAAATGATTAATATTTTGCACAAAACAAAATAGGAATGGTCTACTAATTGTGTTCATCAAATTTTCGATGGAACCATATAACTTATTTAATTGGGTCAATCAACTAAGAAAGAGAAAATTTAATTTTCGTAAAGAAAAATACATTATTAATAGTAATGGTAAAACAAACTAACAAAGGCAGACATACCTAATAGACTTGAATCAAGTCTTATATCAAGTTGACTACGTAAGGTTGGTTATAAATTAAAATATCATTATCATCTAATAAATATAGGTCTTATTGGTTATAATTGTGTTTAAAAATATTTTTCACCAACTAGACATTATAAGTTTATTTAGATTATAGGATATATCTATATTTTAGGTCCATATGTTTAAGTAAAACAAAAGAATTACTATATATCTCAACCCCATATAAATTAGAATTCCATTTTGTTCATGGTTAAGAATAATAATATGCTAAAAATAATAATAAGAAACAAATTCAAATTAAATAAAGTTCTTTCAGTGTCATTTGTTATTATACGTAAGCACCAAAATTGTTGTTGTTTGCAAAGAGCAAGTGATATAATATAATACTGAGCCTAAAATTAAATGGGTAAATATACATGAATTTTTGAATACAGTAATATAAGGATACTCTAGTTCTATATTCATGTCAATATGACCCACTAAAAAAAAATTGTTGTTTTGAGTCTAGCACAATTAAATTGACAAAGACTAGCACTTTGATTCGTATATGGATTAAAGTTCTATATTAGTAAGACTTAAAAATCATTAAACACCATAACAATCAAAAGCAACATATATATAATTAAATAACGCCCAAAAAAAATAATAATAAATAGTCATACCTTACAAACTTGATTCAAGTTTCAAATTTATCGACTAGCCTGTTGATCATAAAGTTTCGAGTACATATAGCTTTATATATATAGACATTCTAGTTCTATGTATTTTAGTTCCATATGTTCGAGTAAAAAAGAGATTTCTGACTTAAGTTAGAAATCTATATTTTAGGATTCATATGTTCAAATAAAATAGGATTGTGAAATCTGTATGATTTAAGATTCTATATCTTGTTTAAAGTTCAATATGGACTATAATTCCAATTAAAAATATATGTATATATATATGTGTGTGTGTGTGTGTAAAATTAAATTAAATCGAACTCCTTTTAAATTGAAATATAAATCGATAAAATATTAAATATGCAAATAAGTCTCGAAGGGGCATTTGTAGACATGAAAAAATTAATCAATTAAAGTTTATAATTGAACTCAAATCAACTAGATAAATAAAATTAGGTTGGACTTAAATTTCATAACCTAAATAATACAAGCCCAAATTTAATTAACAAGACTTGTCATAATTAAATTAAATTGAATCTAAATTTCATAGCCTAAATAATACAAGTCCAAACATAATTAATCTGGCTTGTTAAATTGAAATGAACTTAAATTCTATGGGCCCAAATTAAATAAACTTTTAAAAGGTAAAGTGGGTTCTTACAAATTTATAGATAGCACACTACCTAAAGCTATAAGGGTAATAAGGTAAAAATACCCTTATATGGATAATTATTACCACCCTTATATAAGTAACTACTCCTACCACTATTAACAGAGGTGTGGGGAGGCCAAGAAAAAACAGAAAGCGGAGAATAATCCAAGGAAAAAGGAAGATCGGTGAAGCTCTGCTCAAAGTTCACTAAAGACTTAAAACTTTGTAAGTTCATCTCCGGGAAGAAAAACACACCGCCAAGGTCCTTTTTCAAGAAATTTAAATCATGTTCAAGTCATTTTAAGCGAAGAACGGTGAGAAGATTCATAAAAAACATCATCAAATTGAAGAGCGGGAGATACATTGATCCAACTCTCGTATTCATCAAAGCTACTGATTGAAGAGCGAGAAATACGCCAATTAGGCCCTCATCTTCACCAAATTCATCATCTTCATCAAATTCACCGAGAGATAAGAGGATAATGAATGTAAGAAGTACGCCGAAGAGAGTTAACACTACATCTTTTACTTAAAGTTAATCAAATTGACTATTGTAACTTGACCTTATTTTGTGTTAATTTATTCACGAAAGTTGTGGTTATAGTTGAGTTTGGGATCAACGTAAGATTGATTACGAGTGAATTAATTGAATATTAACTTAATCAATTGTCATGTGTTGAGGGTTGTGATGACTAAAAGTGTCTCACATTCTTTGCTTGATATTTGTGGAAAGCGATAATTACGGTAGATATAAATTTTAATTTGTAATAAATTTGAGTTAAAATTAAAAAATGTATTCATTGATCTCCACGTATATAATTGCAAGAGAAAATCAATATGTTTCCTCCTTCCAAAACAACAAAATAATTGAAAAAAGTTCAGTTTGATGAGCAAGTCGTTTACACAAGAAAAAAAATAAAGCTATGAAAAAATTTAAATCATCAACTAAACAATAAGTTACTAACACGTGTTCAAAATTAGATGCAATATGAAAAAAACTAAAGGCTTATTATGATTTTTCCCTTTTTTAAGTTTGGGTTTAGCAGTAATCAAATCCATCTGCATTCAATTTTAATAATTAGCCCCCCAGAAAATTTTCAGTTGACTGAACTATCTAACACGATGTATGGAAAATGAGAAATTTCTAAAATACCTTGACATTACATAGTCTTTAATTACCCAAATCATGCTACCCATCCATTTATCCCAATAACGCCAATTCCACCCCCACCCCCCCC